CCCAGTAGGCTGCAAGTGGGTGTTCCAAGTGAAGCGAAAATCTGATGGGTCAGTAGATCGATTCAAAGCCCGTTTAGTTGCAAAAGGCTATAATCAACGTCCCGAGCTTGATTACAAGGAAACCTTCAGTCCAGTAGTTAAACCAGCCACAATTAGAACAGTTCTATCTATTGCTGTTGTGAATGGTTGGGAGCTAAGGCAAATGGACGTTAATAATGCTTTTTTACATGGTGCATTGTCTGAGACTGTATATATGATGCAACCCCCGGGGTTCAAAGACCCATCTAAACCCAATCATGTTTGCAGGCTCCAGAAAGCAATATATGGGCTTAAACAAGCCTCTCGGGCTTGGTACACTACACTGAAAAATGCACTACTTGAGCTTGGGTTTGAAAATTCCAGAGCTGATTCGTCCTTATTTATTTATAGGAAGGACTCTATAATTTGTTATTTCTTGGTATATGTCAATGATCTTGTGATTACAGGAAATAACGAAATCTTTGTGACTTCAACTATAAAACGATTGGGAGATCGTTTTTCTCTCAAGGATATGGGTCTACTTCATTACTTCTTGGGTGTGGAAGTTATACCTACTCAGGCAGGCCTTTTTCTCTCACAACACAAGTACATTCGAGAGCTACTGTCCAATACCAACATGAGTACAGCCAAAGACGTCTCCACTCCTCTCTCAACAACTCAGTCTCTGAAGTTAATTGATGGCACAGCAAATGTGGACAGCACATAATTTCGACGAATTATTGGCAGCCTGCAGTATCTTTCTTTGACACGTCCAGATATCTCATTTGCGGTCAACAAGTTATCCCAATTCATGCACAAGCCTACCACCACTCACTTCGCAGCAACAAAAAGGCTCCTTCGGTACTTAAAGCAAACCATCTTCCATGGTATACAGCTCACAAAATCTGGGCCTCCAGCTTTAGTTACCTATTCCGATGCCGACTGGGCAGGAAATATTGATGACCGTACCTCCACTTCTGCATATATCAGCTTCTTAGGCCCAAATCCCATTTCATGGTGCTCAAAGAAACAAAGGACAGTTGCAAGATCTACCACCGAAGCTGAATATCGAGCTCTTGCAAATGCGGCATCCGAGACAATGTGGCTTCTGAACCTTCTTCATGAGCTGGGCTTTCCACTAAAATCAGCCCCCTTGCTACTAAGTGATAACCTTGGTGCTACGTACCTAAGTCTCAATCCGGTCCAACATTCACGCATGAAACATATACAAATCGATCTTCATTTTGTGCGTGATCTTGTTCAACGTGGCTCTCTCCAAGTTCGACATGTTCACACACAAGATCAACTGGCTGATCTGTTGACAAAACCACTGTCCACACAACGAACCGCAATCTTGAGAAACAAGATTGGGCTTGCTGATGGAAGCTCAATCTTGCGGGGGCGTATAAAGACAGATTGCAAGAATCAAGGCCAAGATTGAACAGAACACATTTAGCCTACAATCAAGTGATCTACAATCAAGCAAATCAACCTTGTATATTTCCGTAACTGCTACAAATCTGTAATCACTGCATAGTTGTAGCTAAATTGATGTAAACTGCCCATAAATAGTTCTCCTAGCTGTGTATATAAGTCTGGTCCTATTACATCAATAAAGTGTGGGAAATTATTCATTGATACTACAGAAATTTTCATTCCTTTATAACACATTTATTTTTTGTTTGAAATTTGTTCTTTGAACCACTTTCTATAAAAGTTTAAACTTTTAGAAGTGGATGCAATTGTTTATTTCAACACTTGCTTTCATCTACAAATCAAACTCACTATTTTTTTTTTTTTTGTAAATGTGACCTCTTCAAGTTGTTGCACTGCGGTGAACTACCTAATGTCTAAAAGCTTAAACTTTTAAATTGAGGATGCAATTATTTATTTAAATTTATCGATATTTGTCTACGATTATTTTAGAACTCTTTTTTCTTAAACTCATTTTTCAACCTCATATTCATATAATAAAATATTTTGTACATAAACCAAAAACTATTTCTTACTTTTTAACCACACATTCTCTAAAAAAATCGCTATTTCAAAACTTATTTTCCTCAAAGATCGGTTTTTTAGTAATGACACGTTCAAACAAAAAATAGTACTTACCACACTAAAACGTATTTGTTGTAATGTCAATATGCCAACGACTCCCCAAAACACATTTATAATGGCTGCCAAACATGTCAAACGGAGCTTCCATACATTTGTTAAGTATGCTATTGATAAGTGTGATTTTTACACTCACTCGGACCGTCGAAAGTATGATTTGAGAGTCACTTTGATAGAATTACTACTTAATATGGTTGACTATCGATTATTGTAGGATAAGTTTTATGTTGGAGGGCTTATGATGAAAAGAAATGAAAATTGGGCAAAAGGGCAAAAGAAGAACAAATGTAAGTCCGAGAACTAAATTGTAAAGTTTCAAAACTTAATTTGGATCAATGATGGACAATTCAAGAGGACGTGGATCAAACTGTAAGTTGAAGGAGTCATTGGAAATAAAAAAATGGGACTTGAGCTGAGAAGAGGAAGAAATTCAGAGATCAAAGTGAATGAAAAGCAACAAGTTACACCGTGCGATCGCAAGGGACCCTTTGCGAGTTCCTGCAGACAACTAAGCATAGCCATGCCACAATGACTTTTATCATTGTTATATACTTAATGCTTTCAAGTACTTATCTAATAATTGAATTGAATTGTGACCTTTGTTTTATTTGGAAGAAAGAATAGATATTTTAACAATCATGCGACATGTACATAATCATTCACACAATCTTTTACACCTCCCTCACATGGAGGGGGTCCCACACACAATAAAATATTCGCGCACACAATTCATGTGAGATAGGTATACGTACACCTGGTGTACAAACAACTTTATTCATATTTTAATACATGATAACAACCATTGTAGAGTCCAATATAGAATAAAGATATACATTACGCTTTGCATGATTTCATTGAATGTCAAGTGATTAAGTGCATTTTTTCTTGTTATCATCCTTCACGAAGATATAGGAGGATTATATACGAGGATATGTTTAGTATTAGTAGAGAGAGATTACTAAATAATATAGATACATCGATCTTCAAGATTAAACAAGTATTGTCGTTGTCTTAATTGTTGTTGATATGGAAAATAAAGGAGGATTTGAAGTTCTAGTGCTTGTCGCTTAATTGAGTTTATAAACGTCTCGTAGTTTTTCATTAGTTTAAGTTTGGATAATTAATTATAAATTAAAGCCAACAAATAATATAATATTAGTCAATTAAAATTAGTATTAATTAAAATCGGATTAAATACTGGTATTAGAGGGAACGATATTTTACTCACTCTTTGTTACTTGACTACGATTTCGTATACTTCCAAATTTTAATGATTAGTCATTGTTGTATACATAGCATTATTGCAAGTATATCAAGAACTAATCAAAGAATACCAAAATATTAACAAAAATTAAGAAAACTGCAATTCATTCAGACAAAAATTAAAAAATACTTGAAGAAACATATGACATATCTCTACCGACGAATTTCCTCACGGCTGCTAGTCAAGTTACATTTGTAATCAATATCTCCAGGCCTACATAAAATGAAAAGACAAATAATAAAAACAAATTAAATCTTATTTTACCTTCAAAACGTGTTAAGTAAGAATGTTATGCATTGTACAGAATGAAAATCCTACAAAAAGAGCACGGGTGAATAAATGAGAAACTGAGTGAAAGTTTAGATAATATGTGTTACGTCTCATCCACCGAGGCAGACCACATGACAGTCAGTTAAGACATAACAAGAAGTTACTCAAGGTCCACACTCTACATCACCTCGTCCTTTCAACTTTCGGCCGAAGCGACATGACAGAGGTCGAACCTCCATGTCCTAAAACAAGGCGCCTCAAGTTGCAGATGTGTATGTTCGAAGCAATAAGCATTTGCTTCACAAGACATCTTCCATGATATTGCTTTGGCTTAAATATATTCTGTACATCGGACAGATTGATAGCCCTACATCATCCACTTTCAGTCAACTTTTTAGATGGTAGGCCAAGGACAGTTGTGATTGATGCATATCAAGTTTGATATGTGAGCTATTAGGTTGAGGCCATACATTCAATGGACATCACCTTTTTCCTTTCACTATATAAGCTCAGAGTTGGGGGGTTTATTTGAGCATCATTTTTTGGGAAAATAGATTTTATAATAGTAGTTTTTTGGAGAATATAATGTTAAGAATATGGAAAAAAATTTGCGTTTACGAGTAAAATTATTTTATTTGGAGAATGTGTAGATGAAAATGAATTTGGAAAAAAAATGAGTTTTTAAATAATGTGGTTCAAACAGGAGCTTAGCGTCTTCCAAAAATAATGAAATTTTATACATTCACAATATATTGCTTGGTAATCTCTCTTTAACTTGGATCTTATTTTTACTCATCCTTAGTCTCCCACACCCATATCATATTCTACCGTTGATTGACTTAGTATTGGAGTGCCCGCAACTGTTTCCCCACCATCTGAGAAGAGGCAACGTCTATCAATGTTTTGTCCAAGTGTACACAAACCTAACACAAGGATTGGAGTGGAGATGAGATTTGTTAGCCACTTGTACTCGCCGGATTTCTCGGCCAATATGGAATATATAAAACCTAACACAAGGATTGGTTTCACGGGTTACCTTTCTTCTTAACACAGAAAGGGACACCGTGCGACAATTTACTTTCTCTTGGTTGTTTCGGGACGAAAGTAAATTTGATCAAATTTAAAGGAAGCTTACAACATGAAATTGAAATGCATTGAAATAAACTTGATCATTGATTGCTTGAAAGCTGAACATTACAATAAACGAAAGTAGGAAATTACAATGACTAGTGCAGGAGGATTGACCTTTCTAACGCATATTCAGTCGTACCAGCATGGCCCCACTGTTTGTTTTCGATCAGAGCATCAAGCAGCGCAACCCGGATCTACTTGACTAAGCCCGAGCTCCTCCAAGGAGGGAGTTTGCTTTAACCACCTCCCTTATTGATAACAAGGCAGAAAGCCCCTACCGGACACTCATTAGTTTCGAATGAAGAATGAAGAGTGCCCTAGCAAGCACCTACTCCTATAAAAAAGCGAGACTTTACTAAACAAGCAAGAAAAGCCCTTTCTATCTTATTAGTCAAGCGCTAACACCCTATCTATAGTAAGGGGCCTTTTCAATAAGGCTCGCGTGGGGGCGCTCACCTTTTTTGGCTTCCCTAAAATCGAATATTTTGAAGTTGGTAAAGACCCGCCCCTTGTTTCAGTCAGAATGAGTCCCCGGGACCCCGGGACATTGGCTTCCGCCAACAGTGAACTATTAAGGATCGCATCCCGCGCATATTCTACATTATAGCCTGCAACTGATTCAGCTTCCGCTTCTGGGAGATCAAACGGAGCTCGATTAGTTTCTGCTAGACGAGAAATAAAGAACATAACCAATACAGGGAACAAGGGAATACCGGACCATATCTGCTTTTGCGCCATGACAATCTCACTCGAATTACGGGGACCTACACATATTAGTACAGTATACCGGGGTACCCGGCCAGAACCACACGTGCAAGTTTCCCTGCATGTGGCTCGTCCGTGCTTTCCGAGGCGCTGCCTGTGACTCAGCATGGGATAAGGGGGCGGAACTGCACACTTTCGTGTTCAGAGCATTGTCCGAGTGAGTAGGCAGCGCCTACCAAAAAAAGCTTTCTTGAAGAGGCTGGGCTGCTTCTTTTTCGGCGCCCGCCCTTTCTTTATTTAGATGTTGAGGCAAGGCAAGCCCCAGGAAAGTATAGGTTTGCTCCTAGCTCCATCTCGGCCGGCATCCTGCTCTCGAGGGGGTGGAGTCCTGGAGCGAACTACTCATTGCTGTCTTGCCCCAACCCAAGGAAGGGCATTTGGCGAGGAGCATTGTTTTGAGGGAGGGAAAGCGTGG